AATTAAGTATTCACAAAAATTGTGCATGTAAAAAGCTAAAAGTTAATTTAAATTTTATGAATTCCACTGTTAATTAATTTTAAATAACTGCTGCTGCTGCCATTGAATATGTAAACTCCATAACCCACTCAGCGCCGCTGGCTGCACTGTTGCTTTAGTGCGGACTTCAACTTGACATTGAACTAAAAAAAGACAAGCTGTGCATTTTCGGTTGGTATCGTATTTATAAATTTTTTATTTTTTTTTGATTTGTATCAAACAAGTTTTCGCCTGCCAGACATCGGTAGTATGCCGCTCTATTTTGAGGATGCTGCAAATGTCATTAAAGGGAAGTTTTTTTGTTTTTCCGTCTGCTACCTTCAGTGGCGTTTCTTTTGTTATGTCGAACAACAACTTTTTGTAGTTCTTATTAACATACTAGTTGTTGTTATAATGATTATATTTTATTAAGTGTTAATGAACTTTACGAATTATTCGCATTTTTTTCATAATCGCTTGCGGTCACCGTGTTTTACTGAGGTTATGTTGTTGCTACTTAAGTAATTGTGTGGCTATTTGCGTTTCATTTTCGTTGATGCAAAATATTTAGGAAGACCTTGAAGCCCAGCCTGTTTATGCGCGCTCAAGTTTTGACCGAAATTCATTTCCTGTATTTTGCAGATTGAAAGCGTAAAAAAGGAAATAAAACTGAAATAAAAACCGTTGTCGGTTTGTATTATCTGTGTGTGAATACGTATATTAAATTAAACTCTCTTAAGATCTTCAGGGTTGCGGGTTTTAGTAACTAAGTTATGCATTGTACTATGCAATGAGTCTATTTAGGTTTAGGGACAATGGCTTCCAGTTACTAGCAGGAATACGTACAGTGGCGCCCACATAAATAGGACACATTTATTTTTTTACAATATTCACAATATGTTACGTGACAAATTTTTTTCGTACATTTTTTATAAAAAAAAATAGTAGATTCTATAAAATAAACCACAAAATTCAAAGTTTGTGCGCAGTTCAGGAAAATTAAAAAAATTATTATTTTTTTTTTTTAAATTTCCAACTTAATTCAGAATTTTTAGAAACTTATTGGGCATGCAGTTTTATAGCCTATTCAATTTCAGTATGAAAATTCTGAGAAATCCCGTACATTTTTGATCGTTTTTTTTTGTTGACGATGTTGTGCACTTTCTTCTTTACGGTATTATTGTATCATGGTTTTGTGTTTTAATAATCGATTATTAATCGATTAATTGTAAAATAATCGTAAAAATATTTTCAATAAATGTGAGTTCTGTAGTTGTCTAAAATCCATCCATCGTACATTCTTTTTTTGTTAGCTGCATCAACTTTACTCGACTCGAGGTTCAAAAAAATGTATTTCAAAGATTCGTTAGCATTGGCCTCAGTAATGGAGTTCCTGCGAAATGAAATAATGTACACAGATGATCTTATGGAAAAGGGTAGCGAGTCGTCACTAGAATCAGTAGAAAATGAGTCCGATCTAATGGGCCTCTCATAAATCTCTTGTACACAAACGAAGGCGAAAAGATGATGATTTGGGTCACCTCTAAGATGAAATGAGTTTTCGTTTAAATTTTCAAGTCTTACAACTCAAGCGGAAGGAAATAACTAATGAAGAAAATCGATGGAATCACCGAGCAATTCTACATAGGAATTGGATAGTGGCGTCTGGAGAACAAAAAACCAAACTAAAATTTGTGATCCAGTGTTATTGTCGCTAAAAATACTCTAGGCTAATTGACAAGAGAATTCGAAATTTTTTATGCAAGTGTTTTTGTGAATACTCACTGCAAAAAAAGTGCCTTTAAAATTTTGATTAATTTGATTATTTCTCAATAATTGCAATTAATTTTTTTTGCTTGTGATTAATCATATGATTAATTAATCGATTATTTTATTTTATTTTTTGCCATCCCTAGTTGTCAATAAAGAAATTGTTCTTCAAAACTTTACACAAACATCCGCGTAGATATTTCATATGACTCCATCTTTCTGGTAATTCAATATTCGGCAATAGGAAAATCTGAATCAAAAAAGCTAAAATAGGGCAAACGCCCCTTCGAAATTCTGCACTGTCATCTCTATTTCGACTCATTCTTTACCCGATTACGGACCATTTTTAAATTTTCAAATTTCATTCTTTATGTACACCATGATAGCGCGATCCGTTGCCGCCTATAGGGAGCTGGCTTGGTTTTCGACAGCTGCCTTAGCCAGGGTAAGACAATCCTTCACTAAACTCCAACGCCTGATAACTGTATGCATTACGTTCGATCTAAATCTTCTGAGAGTAGTCAATATATTGAAATAAAGAATGCCCTTAACAAATTTAAATAGACATAAGAATATATAACAGTTCAGTATTATATGCGCTTTTGATCATTTTCCTTTTTAAGCTAACCTACCCCTCTATTTTTTAATGAAAATATGTAAGTGCGCGCGCGTATTTTAAACACGTTCGCAGTTTTACGCTTTTCGCCTATGAAATACGGAATATACAAAAGTTTGGGTATATTTTTAATTTTTTTTTTTACACACACAGATCACAAAAGAATAATTCATTATTTGTTCTTTGAGTCGCACTTCCGTAGTTTGTATGCAAAGCCGCTGAGTGCTTATTTTCTGCTGAACGCGTGCGCGATAATCTTTTCGAAGTCTTACGGCAGTTAAACAATGAGAAAATGTACGTACTATACATATTTACATACGAGTACATGTTTGAATAAATGTAAGTGACATAATTTTTAAATTCTCATATGAGTTTTTTGTCTTGCGAAATATAGTAGGTTCAAGGACAATTTGTGTGATTTTAGAAAAAGATTTGGTAGTATGAATTTAGAATGAGAAGAAAAAAAACGTGATTATTGCGTGATATTTAGGTACATGTTAGGTGTTGATATGAAAACGTCATTAAGGCGCACCTAACAAATCGGAGGAGCAGCTCGGCCAAACACGCAGAAAAATGTGTAAGCCGCCAATATTTATTTAAATTTTATTGGAGCATGGAATAATTTTTGCAAACAGCGTTTGTTATGTAAACATAATCAGAAGTTCTTTGAAGAAACCATGGAGCGCTAAACTATTACAGACGGTATGTTCGAAGCTCGTTAGAGAATACCCTAATTCACTTTCGGTTGCGTGGCAATATTACTTTTTTCAGATTTGAATGCGTGCCAGGCCATATCGCACGAAACTGTGTGACTGAAGAACTGGCCAAATAATATCGCCAAGAAAAGAGAGAGTAGGAGCTCCATTGATCACTTGTGGACTTCTCGGGGAAAGATTAGCCTTGGGTCAACTCAGCGAACAGTGGGCGGAAAACCCGCGCATGTGCTATCGCGAGGTCATTCTGGTCGAAGGTGGACCGAGGACGGTCCGGGATCCGTTTAGCTTCGCGAAGCCTGATCTCTCAGTTCTGGCGGCTCAGGTATGACAAAGAACCAACGCCCACGGTCTAAGTGAAAAAAAAAACATGGAAAGCCATAAAACGGGTCCAAAGTAATTAATCACTTAACTGATGTCATATTCAAAACATAATTTAAAGATCCAAATAAATGTAAAAAAAAACACATAAACTTCATTTCATTCGTTCAAAAGATGAAGCCAACGAACGTTAGGCCGGGTCATTTGTTTTGAGTCACCTTTTTTTTATAAGAATTAGATTAGTAAACTAACATATCGCGTATGCCTTTCGTTGAGAGCAGGGATGGTGACGGTTCTGATCTTTGTAATAAAAATCAAAAAAATTCAATATTTGATTTCTATTTTTCTGATCAAATTTAACCGCTATTTTATGAGATTAATTTTTTCCAACAATTATAAATAATTTTCTAAAAATAAAACAATTGGTACGAATGTTTTTCCAATCGTCTTCTAACACTTGAGGTGGAAAAGCAGTGCTAGTTCCCTAATCATCCTCCAATGGATAAATAAACTGAATCTTTTCTGGGTAAATAAGGCAGGTGAAAACCCCGGTATTCGAAAATTGGTAAAAATCTGGTTAAAAAACCTCAGCTTAAGCTCCTTAGAAAATAAATATGTATGCACATATTAGGGTGGTCCAAAAATGCATGTGAAAAAGTATAGTCGGATTTTTATGCTCTCACCCCCTAGGATTGTTCTATACCGAAAAAAAGTATACCCTTATTTTTTTATTTTGAAATCAAAAGATAATTAGAGATCGCTCAAAGCCCAAAGTTTTCCATGTATTTTTATATGGTAAAAAACAACTTTTCGTAGTAATGGTATATAATTCTTGAAAATCAATATTTTTCGCTCACGTTAAACCAGCCCGACGTATATGAATGAGATTTTTTAGACAGATCAGTTATGAACTGGATTAACAAAAAGGATATTTTTTTGAAGAGAGTTGAAATCTTTTTTTAAATTAAAAATCAATTACCACCAAATTACCAGTTTAAATAAAATATTATAACATTGTTGGAGTCAAACGAAAGGGATTCTAAAAATATGTATTTCGAAATAACTTTGAAGAAGAGGATTGACACCTGCGCAAAGTGTTGACATCAATTTAATTAACAAGTTAAATTAAATATTTGTAATTGGGTATCAAACAAAAGGTTTAGGAAATTTATTAAAAAATGATTTTTAAGAGGGTTGCCACCTATTTGGTAGTTCAAAATCAACTTAACCAGCTAGTGAAATAAAATATTTTAATGCTGGAATCACACCAACGAAAGTTTGAATAGAACTTAATTTCGAAAACTTTTTTGAAGAGGGTTGCCATCTGTTTGGAAACTCAAGATCAGTTGAAAGCAAGAACGCAAAGTTTAATGAAATATTTTAATATAGCCGTCAAACGAGGGAGGTCTATTTCGGAACTATTTTTGACGAAGGTTGCCACCTGCTTAGAAATGCAAAACCAATTTTACTAAGTTAAATGAAATATTTTGACATTGGTGTCAAATGAGAATTCTTCATTTTTAAACTAATTTCAAAGCTTTATTTTTTAAATATTTTTGAAGGGCTTGTAAGAGTTTCAAAGTCCCAGTTCCATTTGATGAGAGGTTAAATGAAGCATTACAATGTGCGAGCCTAAGGAAAGAAGATAAAGAAAGTTTTTCTCCTGCTGTAACATTTGACTGCATAGCCGCGGCAAAAGCTAGTACTTATATAATTGTAGATGCTCCCTTTTCAAGTTTTTACTGATCTAATACCCTAACTATTTCTTCTAATTTCAGCTGCTAATTTCGAAAAATGCAAACGTGATGAAAATTTCGATAAATGCCTTGTTGATGCTGTGAACGGTGCAATTCTGCTGCTCAAGGATGGTAAAATAACTTCGTAAAATCTTTTGTAAAATAAAGAGAATTAACGTTTAACTATTCACAGGCAACAAAGAGTTCGGTATACCACAGCTCGAGCCACTCACTGTGAAGTCGTTAATAATCGATTCTGGTAATGCGCCTATTACGCTGAAGCAGACCTTGAAAAACTTACTCGTACACGACATGATCTCCACCAGCAAAGTGCAGCGCTACCGGTAAGATCCTTTAATACATATATACATATATGTATTTTAAACTACATAAAAAAACAAATAACAATTAACACTTTCTCTTTTTTCCGCTTTCCAGCACCGATCTGAACAATCACCTAATTGTTTGTGACAGTAAAACCGATCGCATTGAAATGGTTGGCGATTATGAGATGTCCGGCCGCATATTGCTGCTACCCATAACTGGTAATGGCAAAGCCAATATGACGCTGATTAACACCCGCATCGAACATCGGCTCATCGGTGAACCTTTCATGCGCGATGGCGTCAAATATATGCGTCTCAAGGAGTACCGCGTCGATCTGAATCCCAAGCGTGTCTATATGCAATTCGATAATCTCTTCAACGATCGTTTGTTATCGCAGACAATGAATCGATTCTTGAACGACAACTGGGAGACGGTTTTCAATGAGCTGAAGATTGGCTATGCGCGTAGCTTTGGTCAAATTTTCCGTGATATTTCGAATAAGCTGTTTGAGGAGATACCATTCGATTCGATATTTCTGAGTTCTTGAATGCGCGGTGCGTAAAAGAGGGAACTACATGAGAAGTGGGCATAGCCTGAGTATTTTCTTTTAGTATTTAATAAAAATTGTTAAGGCTTATTATTTAGTGTTGTGTACGTAGGACAATATGTATATTAGGGTGATTTTCTTCGAGACAATTTTTTTTTCATTCCCACCTAGACATTGTGGGAAATACCTATAAAAAGTCCTTTTTTTTTCTACAGCTCAGTGGTATTTTTTTATGGTATAATTTTGGTCAAGGATAGAGTTTCTTCAGAATTGAATGCTTTACAAAAGTGTCCATTGCGGCGTAATCCTAACCCGCGCCAGCGAGGTAGTACGTACGGGTCACTAAAGTAAAATCTTTTGGTGAAATTCTCGTTTTTTTGCCCCTATCTCATAAATAACTAGAGCTACAGAAAAAATGTAGATAAATAAGAAAGTGGTAGGAAATTCAATTTCGACTTTCCTTGAGATATTGGGAACGAAAAAAATTGTCGCGAAAAAATCACCCTAATGTATGTGAGATGATTGAGTTATTCTGGAATTTATTATTTTTTAGTTTTGTAAATATGTATGTATATGTAAGTTGATTAACTTAGAACTTAGAAATTAAAAATAAATTAATAAAAAATAAAATATTTAGTATCTATATACATATATTACATTTAATAAATTAATAAAAAATAAAATACTTAGTATCTATGTATGCCATGAAGATAGTTACATATTTGGTTTTCCGTTCTCCCAGCCGTCCATGTACCCATTATAGATGGCGTTTTTAAAACGATTAAATCGAGCTCTTCCGATTCGACTTTTTGTCGATTAACTAATTCCAATTCGATCCATGAATCGATCAAAAAGAATCGAGAATTGATTTTAGATTATTTACCTCAATCCATGAAATTGTAAAGAAAATTGATTATGTGACTGGTACAACAAAAAAAAAAAA